CATTATCAGATCTTGCCACATTAGGTAAAGCCATTGCTTTCTCTGATTTGTCATTTCCTGAAGATCGCATCCGCTTCTTTACATCATTTCTAGCCTTGTCCGAATACTGAGACCCTGCACACGTTTCAGCAACAAGACGACTTCTTTTATACCGGGAGGAACCTCCCTCCTCACAGTCAGAGAGACCAGTCCCTAAATCTGACCGAGCACACAAGTTCCATCTACCTAATGCCTTTGACGAGGTACTAAGACTATTGGCACAGTCATTCATACACACGTTGTCCACAGTCAAACTACCAAAATTTTCTGCACGCTCGCCTGAATCCTGATGTAGCGAACTTAAATGAGCCACACACTGTTCCATAAGCAGCTTGAGATGCAAACTCAGCATAAAGGAAGGTGCAGCAGTACGAGAAAGAGCAAAAGCAGGAAATTTTTTGTTGGTTTCATTAGAACACAAATTAGAATGACCATTGTTCTCGCTTGCATCTCCTTTGTGGTTGATACCAAGACAACTAATCTTCTGTGTGCCCTGATTAAAGAAGAAACACTGAAGAAGTTACTACAAGATGAAACATCTAGCGTCGAATAATACAGAGGAAGCGAAGGTATATTAGAAACCTTGTAACATGCTTGGACAACAGTATAGTTGATAGCATAACCAAAAATAAAAGAACGTAAAAAAAAAAACAATGTAGAATAAACAAGTACCTTGATAGAGGAACACTCGCCACAAAATGGAGATGTATGGAATTGACTTGTGCAATTTTGAAACCTTTTGATATTATCGTAGGTGCATTCAGTCAATGGAAGTTGCTTGGTGAGTGAGCAATACTTCTTCAGCCTGCAGTCTAAGTGAAGCCACTTGGAATTTTTTGTTTCTGAAAAGTTATAGAAAGCAAACACAAGCTGCTTTCCGATATCCGGAAGGCACGAGAATTTGAACCTGATAGAGGTCATGGGAACTTGAAAATCAGCATACCTTCCCTGTTTGCTGGGTTGCCGAAACATTTTCATGACCAGGAAAATGAAAGCCACTGCCTGCATCAAGCAACCTTCAAACAGGAGAAATCTCAACCCAACCACATTGTCTACACAAAACATCTCTAATTGAACCTTTGGCCATGTTAACGTCAATGCACCATGTTGGATGAGCATTGTCAAATGGAATAACCAAAATGTTACTGCACTTGAAGTCATATTCAAGAATGAATATTCTGGGATGGTTAGCTCAAACCTCAACTGCCCGACTTCCATCGCTGGAATATCCAACTGTAATAACCCATCATCATCAACACACCATAGCAACCTGAGTGCTTCCGACCTTCTGGGAGAGATATCTGATTCCTCCACATCATCGATTTCACCAACATTAGAAAAAAATGAAGCAAGAGAATGTGTTCTTCTAGAGGCATAACTTGTCTCATGCTTATGAGACATTGCAGTGCCTATGTTGCGGAACCTTTTCCTAAAATATACAATAGGAAGTTTGCAAGTCTTTGAACAAGTGGTGATTTCCGAAGTAGACTTCTCTAACCCATCCATATCTCCTAATCTTCCTGGCAATCCTGAATGAGACCTTTCAATTGCCTGGGACCCCGATTTTAAAGATAGGCTGGAGGTTTTCTGCCTCTTTGAACTATGAGAGGGGCATGATTTATTACGTTGAGTAGATCGAGCCAACCAAGAGATGATTGGCTCAGAATCCATAAAGCTACCAGTATTGCATTCATCCTTTGGAGCGTTTGTTTCTTTCCCCTTCCTGGATCTTGATTCCCTTTTCTCATTAGCAGGATTATTTCCCATCACCGACTTCCTACGGTCTTCCCTACCAGGAACTTCACTAGGAAGCAGCAACAGTTTAAACCTTTCATTTTGAAGATCAATCCATTCTTCATCGCGATCATCATATTTGACATGATGAAGCTTCCTTTCTTTATCATAGTCATTCACAAGCCCATAGTACCAGATTTGATCCAAAGGCCAAAAGACTTTGATCCTCCTGTTCAATATCCAAACTGCATCCAAGTCTGCTAATAAAATTTCATAAAAATGGCGTCTTTTCCGTGAGCTTTTCTTTTCTTTTCGTTGCTTCCTGGGCCTCAGTACTCTTCCGGCCGAATCAACTGATGCAGATTCCAAATCTGCTAGAGGCTTAAGACCATGACTAACAAACCCATTCGCTGGTGACAAAGAACCCATCACGTTTGAAGAAAACCCAGTACAAGTTGGATCAAATCTTGATGATAACATTCTAGCAGCATTCTCCTCAAGGTTCTCTTCATCATCTTCCAGGCAGCCATCACGTCGCTTAGTAGAATGTGATATAGATGCCTCACCCTCTTTTGAATTACGTTTTCTCCCAGATGCAGAAATCTTTCTTCTCCCAAAATTCTTTTGTGATTTTTTGAATAACAGACTGACAGGTTTTACAACCGAATGATCAATATGTTCACCTTCCTCCTTCAAATGCAAAGTGGAACTCGATTGATTTTCTCTAACTAATGGATCAGCATGCCCATCTCCTCTCTTCGGATGCTGAGTTGAGCTCAACTCACTTTGCTCTTTCTCCTTTAAACTTTTAAACCCTGGCTTTCTATTAGTCTTACAGCACTCCACCAGATCACTTGGATCTTTGGCACTAGATTTAGCAATCTGATCAACAATAGCAGCTTTACCATCCAATTGCCCAGATGGTTTCAAAATCTGACCACCAAGAATTTTTTTCCTCCTAACAAATCCACCTCTCTTACGCTTTGGAATTTGCATAACATCATCATTCAAAATAAGTGAAACTTTGTTAAACTCACTACTGCTATTTAACTTCTCCTTTGACTCTGACTTCAAGGCCTTTCTTGAATCATGCCCACTTGAACCTAGTTCATCATCATAAACTTCATGCAAACTCTTCCTGCTCCTACTATAAATACTACTGAAATTACTGAGGGACACTTTTTTCCTATTTCTCCTCTCGTTCCTCTGCTCATCACCATTCTCCACCCGGACCTTTCTCTTTAAGCTCTCATTCTGCACCTCTTTAGACACTTTTGATTCGTATAAACTCTTGAGATCCAAAGATCTCGATTTCTTTGGTGTATCAGTACCATGTGAGTATTCTAAACTATTTTCCATCGACTTCCCCAAACGAAAACTCCCAATCCAGAAACCCCCAATTTTCATGTTCCATCATTGTACATGCATATAAACATTTCTCAGATCTGTGTCACCGAAACCACGCCAAAAAAATTGACAAAACGAAAATCATCGTCAAACGTACTCGCAAAGCGATCACATCCAATTATCCATGCATTCATAGTAATCTCCGATGGATTCGGATAAACCAAAACTTATGAACAAATTTAAAAGACGATGAAAAATCGCATACCTACCTCGATTGATTGAACCGCGAAAAAAAAAATCCCTTGGTCTACGAACCGTGCCGATCATAAACCCGACAGGTAAATTAGGGCTTGAATCCGGGCTATCTCATTCGAAACCCTAATAGATTCCACAATTTCCCCAATCAATTTTGGCAATTTTTGAATTTTTGCCCTAATTTTTTTAATTTTAACCGTGAAAAACGGACGGACCTAGGGTTTCTTTTTGATTTCCCGAAGAAGGGTTAGACATCGAAAATTAATAAAAATGAAATAGAAAATAAAGGTAATAAATATGAAGAAAATATATATAATATATATTGAAAATGTGAAGCGTTCTGGATCCGCCATGTGTCGTGATATGGACCGTTGGATTAGAATGTTATGGCCGCAATCTCGTTATCCTGCTTCCGTGCCTTCGATGATTTAATGCAGCTCGCAATTCCGCCGGTCATCATGGAGAACATCCAACGGCCAAGATACATCCTTCAAACTTGGACGGCCAAGATTCAAATTCATTTGTGAGTTCAAAGAAGGCACGACTTCAGTGAAGTTTTCGTTTAACCCATTTTCAAAAGTTTTCCGTTTAACGTAAAAAAAACAACAAATAAGCTATTTCCTCTAAGGGAAACTAGTTTGCCCTTGATTTTCAAAATTATTTCGAAAATACCACGAAGATTTTAGCTCAGAGGCGCCGGAAATTCCAATCGCTAAATGTAATACTCGCGTTGAGCTATTGCAACGTGGACAAGTTTTTATTCGGTCGCACTTCGAGAGAGCGCGTGTTTCTTACGCGCTATAGGCGGTTGTGGTGGTAGTTTTTAACTTCATAAATAACAGTACAAAGTGACAGACGGTGAATTTGCCTTAATTAATTAATTCTTGAATAAATTATTTTTCGTCCACTTTTTTTATCTTTAAATTTTTTATTTTAATATTTATATATTTTGTTAATTTGATATATATATATATATATATATATATATATAACCGTCGAGTTACGCTCGCTTTTACTAATAGTCTAGCTAAAATTAATGGGTGGGGTTCGAGAGAAATAGTAAAAAATGGGTGAATTCTCGAGTAGGTAAACAAAATAGTTAGAAACTATATCATCATTAAATATATTTTAATTACATTAAATCTTAATTAATATGAAAATTAAATATTTCAATTTAAGTCTAATTCAATGGATAGGAAGATATTTCCATTGATAGGTCAGTGGAATATTGATGGATACTACGAGATAATTGAATTATAACTATAAACGTCCATTTTGCCCACAAGGTCGGGTCCCTAATTGGATATGAATCTTCGAGGATTATATTATTAAATTATAATAAAGTTATATTATATTTTATATATATATTTCAAATGATTCATTAACATTTTAATTTAATTTCTAATAAATTCATAATATATTTTGAAATTAAATATTATATATAATAGAACATTAAATTTTTAGTTTCGAGCTATTAGATTTAAAATTAATTTTTTTTAATTACTTACTTTTTTTTTTTAGTTTTAGGATATAAAATACAAATTTTAAATTAAAAAAAAAAAAAAAAAGTGACAAACTCCGAACCAACGATGCGCGCCATTTTCTTTCACCCGCGGCGCATCTAATCCAACCTCACAGTCTCCCGGCATTTGTCTCCGTTCATTCGCAGTCGTTAAAAGAATTTCCGCCGCTGCGTTCACATCCCGCCGGTAAAGTCCCCTCAACTGCACTCCAGCTGCGCCTGATGAGGCGCTCGTTTGTTTGGTTAGCAAGAGATTCGTATGCTGATGGCTGGAATCGGGAATCGTGCGTGTTCGATCGGAACAGTCTGACGTCGTATCGGTTTCGTGTGAATCTCAACTGCGAAGATCCAGAATCTATTTATTGGAGAAGAAGAAACAGTGGACAATAATGGAGGTATGTTCAGTGTAATCTTTGGCTCAGTCACGATACGTTTGATTGCCTACTAGAGGAAGAAATTAGTTGAAGTGTTATTTTCCAAATCCCCCTAAAATCAAAGGATCATATGACTATCTAATAATTTGATATTCGGCAGTTGTGTCTCTTTGCGAGTTTGGGAGCGATAGTCTGTGATCGCTAGGTGGACGACGCTTCGACTCGGTTAAACCAGCAGGAAAAGTTTGGTTTAGTCTGGTCTGTATTCAGTGACAAGACTGTGGTCATGTTTATGTTATGGAGTTCGGCTGCAGGAGTGGTGAATTAGTAAAAGCTTACTTGAAGGTATTTAGTTCAAACTCTGCAATTCAGATTTGTCGTGCCTAGTAATTCGATTATTCATTGATCCAACATGCGGGGATTATCAAGGATTGAATTTATCACAACCTATTGGTTCGAATGTTAGAGTCGTGAAATGATTACTTGGATCGTAGATGGAGTATAGAACTGGTCCTAATCTGTATTGGAGTGTGTTAACTGTGAAGTGTGCTGGACTTATTATAGATCTTTATACCTTGAAGAAAAACTTGAGGACATGCAATGGCTCTTCCTTATTTAATCTCTTTCTATCATGTTGTATGTGAAAGATTATGCAATTGCTTGGCATGTATGACAAAACATTCAGAGAGTTAAATTGTTGGTGGAACACAGGGCTTTGGTTCATGTCTATTCCAAGGAAATGCAGGAGTTGACAGCATTTCCACGGTGAATATGATTACTTGGAACAATTTTGCATTTGTTGACCTCCATTTTTCATTTCCATCTCCAGGAATGATGTTCATTCAAGCACCGCTGTTGATGACCATTGGTAATGAGCAATTTAATGGGGTTAAAAAGAAGTCAATGCCATAGGAGATGTCAGGACTCACGACTTTCCACAACAATGGTACGATATTGTCCACTTTGAGCATAAGTTCTCCTGGCTTTGAGCATAAGTTCTCCTGGCTTTGCTTTTAGTTTCTCCAAAAGACCTCATATCAATGAAAATGTATTCCTTACCTATAAACCCATTATCAACTCTTTGATTAGCCGTTGATTAGCCGAGGTGTACTCCTCTCCCAACAATAGGAGAGAGGTGAGTGAGGTGAGGACAAAACTTGTATTCCTTCCCCTTTAGATTGGATTTGATACCGATAAACTCAATATGCTGTTCAGATGACGAAGAACTTGGAAGCTCATTAGAGCGGTTGCTGAACATTATGCATTCCCTGCCAATGAATGGATTAGTTTGTGGAGATGATTAAAGACAATTACAAATTGCATATCAGCTCGCTTCACTTGAAATAAAGCAGGTATACTTTTGTCCTCTTTTCGTCAATCCCATAATGAATATTGATATATAACTGTAAGCTATAATTCGAGGAATGTCTGTGATTTATTGTGAGATCCCACATTGATCGGAGAGGAGAACGAAACACCCTTTATAAGGTGTGGAAACCTCTCCCTAGCACACGCATTTTAAAAACCTTGAGGCGAAACCCGAAAAGGACAATATCTATTAGCGGTGGACTTAGGCGGTTACATTTATACTCCCCTGGTTAGAAAATTTTGCATAGAACAGACTTACAGTTATCCTGGCTTTATTTCGCATGCTGGAATTTTAGTTTTTAATTTTATTATATAAGTTCGTCTTAGTTGAAGAATTCTTTTCTTGTTCAAAGATGAATGGGTATCAATTTGAATGAAACCAGATGCTTTGGTAGAGACATCAGTTAGCCATTCTTGAACATGGTTGCTGAGCAGAGGTGAAGCACTGGAGCTGTTTGAAATTTATGGGTTCAATTAGCTGCAATCTCAGTCGCTTGGTGAGGAGAACTGTCCTTCCGTTTTACTCTGGTAAATATTCTACACACTACAACACCATTCTACTAGTTTTTTTTATGTTCTAGAAATGAAAAGAGTCTATGCTCAAGAGATACAACTCTACTTGGGAGAGAAAATAAGACAACATTATATAGGAAAGATAAAATCATCTCAAATCAAAACAATATCTTAGAAATGAAAAACTAGTATAACACGTTGGAAGATAACACCAAGAAGAAGCTTTTAATCTAGCATGCTTAGAAACTCCAAACCAATGGAAGAGCTTGGTTTCAAAGATCATTTAATGCTGAAACTAAATCTATTTGTGAGTGTTCGGATATCTACACTTGAACTATTTGTGAGTGTTCGGATATCTACACTTGAACTAATCTTAGAGGACAACCATTGTACCTTTATCTTTCATATATATATATATATTTTATATTTAATATTGAAAAGTAATAAGAATTAGAGGGGTGTTAAGCTTTTTATCATTCTGTCGTCGAGCTATTTAGTTTAACCATCAAGTTCGGGATGAATTGGTGTGGTTCCTCTACACCTAGGACACCAAAATATCGAACCATGAATGAAGAAAGGCATGAGAGAAAAACATATTGGCTAGTGATTGTGATGCCCCAATTCTTGACTGGAGGGGCAATCTTAGAGGACAACCGTCTTACCCTTATCTACACTTGAACTAATCTTAGAGGACAACCATCTTATGTTACCCTAATTACATTTATATAACATATTAAGTTCTGGGTAAATGACCCTCATGGATTAAACTCATTACCTCTTATTTTTTCAAGGTCCTTGCGACAACTAGTCAACTCATAATCGTTATAATAAAGTAATTAGGAACTAAAAAACCCATAAAGAAACCGGATGTTGTGAACTTGGAACTAACAGTAGACCAAAAAATTGATTTATTATTTTCCCCATTTTTTTTCATTAAATTAAAATGATTAGTTTATACATAGAAATACCTTTATTTAGATTGATTTGATGTTGCACATACATATTTGAGAGCTTTTGGTAATATATTTTTTTTTTTTGCTGTACAAAATTAATTAATCTTAGTATACGAATAATATTCAAAACAGCTATAATTGGTCTCAAAATTGAACAATTGGATTCATACCTGAAATTAGTCCAATTGATTTAAATGCTTCATTTGAATTTTATATATATATATATATATTTTTTTTTTTAAGGTTTTGTTTTGCAGGTTAAGGTTTCGAGGGCTAAGAGAGAGTTGTTTTTTTTTTTTTTTTTTTTTTTTTAAATAAATTATTAGTTGAACTAAAACTAATGAAATATTAGAAGAATAATAAAAATGGAACAAATAATAATCATAATAATAATATTATTAGTCTTCGCATTTAATCATTATTATGTTTTGGTGTATGTACTTTTTTAAAAAAAAATTTAAAATATGGCCTATAAACATTTGCACTTATTTTCTTACTTTTGGTTATAATTCTAGTTTGCAAACTAAAAAGAAAACTATAAACTTATATTTTTTTGTTATTGAAAATGCCAAATGAACGTGACAAACCAATATAGACACCAATTTCAAATTTTTTAGACTATTTAGAAATCAATAACATGTCAAAAACTATATATAAACATAATTTAAATCTCAAAAACTAAAAATGTGAGGCTTTTAAACTTTAGGACTAAATAAAATATAAATTCAAAATTGAATGACCCAAAGTATATTCAATTCTTTTTAAAATAAGTGATACAAACAAAAGCTAATTCATTATAAATACATCGATAAAGATATGATTAAAAAACAAATCAAATACCATAAAGTTTTAAGATAAAAATATTTAATTAGAAGTTAATATTTTAAATATAAATTATTTTAAAATTTATGAAGAATAATTTCTCATCCAAACTTTCGACTCCTATTTCTATTCAATTACATAAATTTTTTTACGAAAATATAAAATAAAGTCAAGCCAAAAAGATTTTAATTACATTCCTAAAATATTATATAAAAAAAAAACATCAACAAACGTAAAATCTGATCATAGAAAAAGAAAAAAAAAATATTCATAAGTTTTATTTTTCTTAAAAAATTCTATTATTTTTAAGAAAACGACGACGTATTAATGATCAAGAAACTTCGACATGTCGATACACACGGGCACCGCCTTCGGCAGTTTCAAGAAAAATCAGGATTTTGTAAAATAATAATAAATAATAAATAAATAAGAATAAAATTTTACCCTAACTGCAAATTGAACAAAATTTAGGCCCTTATTTCGAAAATGCACCCATATAAAGTCTCCTCTTTCTTCTTCCTCTCCCATTACGTTATCGTCTCCTCCGTTTTGCCCTACACCAATCCAATCCCCTCTTTGTTTAACGTAAAATCCACCGGTTTTATCTTCCATTTTTATCACAGAACCGAGCAAATCTTCAATTCTCCTCTCTCTAGTAGTTTTGTTTGTTATCTTTCATCTTTATCTTGTGCAGAGCCTGAAACCCTAATTTTCTGTTCGCCCACCTTTAAATCTGTCGCAAATCTTTGATCTATCAATCCAGAAGTTTGCATCGGTTTTGTTTTTGTTGTTGCCGAGATTTTTTTTGGCGATTTATTGTTTTATATTTGTCTGTAAATCTTCGTCGGACCTAATTGAGCGTTGTATGATTCAATTTCGCTGCTCGGAGATTTGGTTTCGCCAATAAAGTTCTTGTTGAATTGTTTTAGTTCGTGGAAGTTTAGAAATCCGCCCTCCGTTTTTACGATTTCATTGTTTTTGTGTCGCTTTGGTTGATCTGTTTGTTTGAAAATGGTCGGAGGAAGCAGGAGGGACGAGGGTTCTTTGGTTATCAACAACACTAATGTTTTTGCAGCCCTCGAGACTCTCAGGAAGAAGAAGAAGTCTGACAAGGAACGCAAGAATAAAGGGTCGTCTAAGTCCCAGTCGGCTCAGGCTAAGGAACCTGAACCTCAGGTTTTTTGGGCACCAGCTCCATTGACTTCCAAATCATGGGCTGATGTTGATGATGAAGACGATGACGATTATTATGCCACGACTGCTCCTCCTCAGGCTGTGTGGGGCTCTTCGGATGCTCATGGGAGCAAGGAGAAGCTGGGCAATGTAGAGGTGGAGAATTATTTAATTCTTGTGTACCCTTCTGATAAATGCTTGTCGTGCTTGTCTGAAATTTATTAGCTTATTTGCATCCATGTCATTCCTTCGTTTGTTGGCTAGTTTAGATGATTAATTTGCAGCTCCTCTGAGTGTCTATGCATGTTGAATTTGATTGAGTTGGTTTGCTGACCCTAATATTATTCTAGTGTCATAATATGTCTTGGAGATTATGCTACGAAGAGTACGGGATAATAGGATTGCTTTATATAGTGATTGCCATTATTTTATAGCAATGTTTTTGTTCGTTGAACCTTGAAAGTTGTTTACATATTAGTATATACGGAGGACAGGCATAGCCTGCGATCTTGTTGAATAAAATGTGTGAGAAATGTGCTTGTAGGAATGCCCATAAATTTTTTTATTGCTGTGGCAATCCGTCTAACTACGACTATGTCGGGTTGCAGGAGAGTGAGAGTGATGATGACATCCTGGATGAAGTTGATTATGATCTTGAAGATGAGCATGAGCATGATCATGATCACGATCACGAGAATGAGCATGAACCAGAGGTACCTGTGCATCCTGAGCCAGCTGTGAAGAACGCTCCTGAAGCCTCTGTGGCTCCTAAGGAGGCTGAGAGGCAACTGTCCAAGAAGGAAAGGAAGAAGAAAGAGCTTGCTGAACTTGATGCCCTTCTGGCTGATTTTGGAGTAAGCCAGAAAGACAGCAACGGTCAAGATGAGTCACGTGGTAATATGTTTTTTTAGTTGTTTCAAATGTTATGCTGTATTGTTTTTTCTTCCTTCCTATTTGTCTTTCTATGTTTATCGATCTAAAAGTTCATAGCCTACTCGACTAGCTCGACTAGCTCTTGTGAATGTTTTGTTTCAAATGGCAAGAAGAATGAGCAGATATGGGTATGGAACCCTACAAATATCTCAACCAAGTTGTGGTGTTGTTAACACCTTGCTTGTCTACCACTGACAGCTAGCTGCTGAATATGTACCGATTGCGAATTCGTACCAATGTGTTAGATGGTTGTGGCTGTCCTGCTTTGGTCTTCTTCAGTCTTGTTATAATTATTCAACCATTCTACTTCTTACAATGGATTAAGGA